ATGCTAAACAGCAACATTCTGGAACTTATTTATAGCAATGTGGATCCGGCTACATATTTGCACTACGATGGAACCAGAACAACTCCTGATTTACTCCTGGCTTCTGGTCACAAACCAGTCATTGCTAGCATTACCATCGGCAGCAAAAGCATGTCAAGGAAAGTGCCAACTAAGCTATCATGGAACTTCAAGAAGGCTGACTGGCCTAGATTCACAAACCTTTTAGAGGATGAACTTCATTCAAGCCTCCTCATCTTCAACCAACATCCTGACAAACTTTGCACTGCTATCACGAATATTATGATCAGATGTGCAAAGAAAACTATTCCCCGAGGCAAAACTAAACACTATCGAGTGTTTTGGTCTAAACACCGTAAGCAACTGAAAAGAAAGAGGGACGCCCTTCGCAAGACTGCTGATCAGACTGGAAGAACGGAAGACGTAAAAGCCTGGAGACGACAATCAGCTGTCCTAAGGCAATCCATCTTACAAGCTAAACGAACTTCTTTCGACAAGTTCACCTCAAATATAAGCTATCAAAGTGATAGCCAACGCACTTTCAAATTTCTGAGAAACCTGCAAAACAACAGAGAAAGACCCAAGAAAGAACCAANTCACCAAATTGGTGATACTTTCGGACTCACAGTCAGCAATAGTCTCTATTGGAAACAGAGAGCCACCCAAAACAGCTAAAATAAAGGAATGTAGAAAACTCTATGAGCTGCTGAGAGAGAAAAACGAAACAGTGGTTCTAAAATGGATTCCTGGTCACTGTGGCATTAAAGGCAATGAGCTTGTTGACACACTTGCTAAGAAGGGGACAACGATTTTGCAATGCATGGACCGGCCGATGTCTTTCCACACAATGAAGGCCTTAATCAGGAGAGAATACCAGACCTCAAGGTGCAACGAAATTAAAGCTCGAACAAAGGAGAAACAGTGGACAGTGGCACTCTCCGACATACCCGACTGGCCAAGAATCGAAGCCGTTGCTGAGTTCAGACTACGTACCGGACACGATTGCTTGGCAAAACACCTTCACAGATTGGGAGTATACACTCAACCCACATGCCCTCTATGTAACCTACATGAGGAAATGGAGAAGACCCACCTGATTCGGTGTCCAGCTCTAAAGACAAGGACGGAAAGCCAGAGATACTGGGAAGCAAGAAGACTGCTTATGAACTGCTATTAATTAACTGCTATAAATGTACCCACCCCCCTCTTGGGGGAAGCTGAAGTCAAAGATTAAGGGCTAATGATAAATATCACAAAGCCTGCCATTTGAAATTTATAAAAAATATGTTTTTAAAGACAAAACACGTCTAAAAGGGATGTGGGGAGACTGACATAAGATGGGCAAAAGTTGAGAGAAATTGTTGCAAGAACAGAAATTCTTCTTGGAATCTTATTTAAATTGCATATATGGGAAAGATTTGTCTAAGAATTTTATCATAGAGATTTTCAAACTTGATTTAGCAAATAATGAAGGTAGAATTTGAAGAAGTATTCTGATTTCCTGTGAAGATTGATTAAGAATCAACTCTTTCTTACACAAAAGATGAGTAAATATTCAAAATTAATATTTTTCTATTAAGAACGCAAATTGAGACGATAAGTGTGAATGGCACTTTTTCTTCTACCAAACTGTTTGCAATACGTAAGCATTTTTATTTCGTCTCGATGACTTATGTTGGTGAGTATATCGCCTTATCAATTGGAAAGAGTAGATAATGTGATCGGTCACGGTGTTGGAGATGCTAAGTTGGCTTTTATGTTCTAGATGGGCGTCGGAACCTATCATTAGCTGCATGCACGATTTGACGAAACCAGAAGTAGTACAGTCTTTTTAAGCGAATATTTTATGAAGCAGTTACTCCCGCAAATTCTATTGGCTACTGGTTGTTTAAAACACCTTGATATGTCGTTTTTTAACCTTGTCAATTAAGTGAGGGTGTGCGATAGACTTACCTTCACGTGGTGCACCCTGGACAACGTATACTTATACGACAAAAAAGTCTATAAACCGGCAGGTGATCTAACCCTAACACGGCAAAAAGTCTATAAACCGGCAGTTGACCTCTGACTTCAAACTACCATGACCCCACTGTATGTCATATTTCTGACTTCAAACTACCATCACCCCACTGTATGCCATATTCCAACAATTTCACCTTTACTTTTTCTCTACCTTTGTGTCTGTCCATCTCTTTTGCATCTGTGAATCGCTCTTCTGTTCCCCACACCTCGACTTTCTGCTACTTTGATGAACCCTTCCTCTGTGAAGCCCGAAGTCAGCTAAATGGCTAATGATAGTTGTCAAAACGCCTGCCATTTGAAATAAATAAATTAACATTCCTATCCTGTAATTTTAGGAAGATTGATACTAAAAGTATCGTTTCTCTATGCTAGATTTGCAAATGGGAATAGTTCTGTCGAAATCAAATTTGCCATTAATGAATCAAGTTACAATTCAATCGTGTGTTTGCTTTTCGGCTATATTAAATTTAAATGCATCTCATGTTGAAATAATCTTTTTACGTCGTATCTGCCAAAACCTTGCGTCATATTTTATTTTGATCCATCTTTTATTTGTCTCGTAAACACACCACCAAACTTCTTAAAGATATCAATATTCTCGGAAAAAACAGTTTTATGTCTATAGCAAGGGACGATTGCAACTCCGTGCAAACAAGATATGAATTCTAAATTTTGTCGTGAGCAAATGAATATGAATTTTATTTTGAATATAAGTGACTTGACATCAAATATTTAATTTTATAGAGAATTTAACTGTAAATGGGGCTGAAGATCGAATAGATGGCACATTTGTGTACGAACGGGTGGACGCGGAGGAAATAACTAATTTTATTATTTCTTCGCATGATTCAAGCTTTGGGAATAACAGTCTATTGACTAAAACATAGTATTGTTGAAATATTGTTTTCTATTGCATGTTTCTTTTAAAAAAGATAGTTGACGTCATATGGAACGGATCACATACGATTTTATTAAAAGCATATTTTGATAAGTTTTCTCAAAAAATTAAGACCTTTTAGTCCAGATTAAGAGAACATTTAAATTAGGCGTGCAATATTACTCAATCACTAATACACTGATTAAAATGGACTGGTCAATGGGGACGAGAACTACCCACAGTTTAAATAAGCACAAATGAAAACGTTATACAGAGCTTTTTTTGTAAAAGATTCGTCAATTAGAAATGATATTAAGTAATCTTTTATTAATTTTTCTTATTTCTACTCATTTATGATTGAACTTTATCAGAAACCATTTGAAATTATAAACAATTGTAAAAAGGTTTTTATATATGAAGTTTCTTATATTAAATGGTACTAAACCCTCAATCTTTCCATCCTTTTACTCTTATGCTGTTTCGCGTATTGCATCAATATAGTAACAATAATTCATGATTTATTTGATAGCTCACCGTTGGTCTTTACCTTGGGATAAATAAATATTTCCCTTAGACAAATAGACTTCAATTAAAATCATTCATATTATTCTTGAATCAAAGCAATACTACCAGAGAAACCGAAAAATATTTTTGATACTGTTTAATATAGAAAAAGTAGAAAATCCCATCAATTTTGTCCCATTGTTTTATGCTCCTATTACCAGTCCGCAGATGTTCATAATCTGAACATTTATGTATTTGAAGAAGGTATTAGTTGCTAGGATAGGAGAAAAGCGATTAGTAAACCCTGTCATAAGCAAACCATCAAT